ACCCAGGGAGGATTTTAGAGGGTTTCAATCTAATATACAGGGTGTTTCATGAGGAATGGTACATACGTTAATATGTTATAGATTTGTTCATTTTAAGCAGAAATGTTCCTAAAAAAATGTGATCAATTCTCAAAGGTAACTGAGATAAATTTATATGTCATTTGTCAATGTTTGACATTTAACATTATTTGGTTGATGTGTCGACTAAGTTGTTGATAATGCCACACATATTGACTCATGCAGAATATGCAGGAGACGATTTCCTAACCGAGTGCTACCAGATTCAAGAGTATTTACTCGAACATTCAATAGATTGCATGAAACCGGTTCTGTTCCAAATAGAAGTATTGATTCTCAACGTGCAGGTGTGCAAACTTTCAATGAAGTTGAACAAATTCTTCAGTCGGCAGAACGCAGTCTACCAGTACAAGAAGACTTTCTGCTCGGCTTGGTGTTCCTCATTTAAAAGTATGGAGAATATTGTGTACTCATGACTTGTATCCATTCCATATTCAACCAGTACAACACCTTGAACCAACAGACTTTGCCAGGAGATTGGAATGTGGGGGTGGCTAAAAAGGGATGTTTATCAAGTAAAAGTAAACACGCACGATGAGCTAATCGCTCGTATTACAGCCAATGCTGCACGAATCAAGGATCATCAGGATTAATTACGCAGCACAGTGCGTGATATATTCAAAAGATCGAAGTGCATCGAGTTAGGTGGTGGGATATTCGAACCCTTCCTTTAAAGTCCCAATTTCGATATTTTATGTACACAATTAAATAAATCAGTTTGTACAGGGTGTATCTGAATGACGTGCCCAAACTTCAGGGGGTGATTCTTTAGGCAATTTTAAGGGTACTTTCTCATATAAATTTTTACCCTCTGCATAAAAAAATGTTAGCAAAAATGTAAAGGGGGTGGTTACGTTTAGTAATTTAGAAGGATAGGTTGAAAGTACAAATAGGGTGAAAACGTGCCCTACTACCATTTAAACATATTCCCCAAATTTCGTTGTCCTAGCGTTTATGGTTTTTGAGAAAAAAAAATTAAACCAAAATTTTCCGCCATTTTTGGAGGGGTGTAGCTCCTTAGGGGAGCCCAAGTCGCCCATGGTTTATATATCAAAGTACCCTTAAAATTGCCTAAAGAATCACCCCCTGAAGTTTGGGCATGTCATTCAGATACACCCTGTATATAACAACAGTGTCTAGTATTTTGTAAGCAGTATCTAAGAGTTTAAGTAGTCTCTAGTTTTTTTCCGGCTGGATTTATTATTCCGCAAACGATTTTTAGTCTCCCGACAAAAGTATCTAGTGTTCTGCAATCAGTATCCAAGTCTTTTAAGCAGTGTATTGTCTTTTAAGCAGTATCTACTCTTCTGTCACCAATATCCAGTATTCTGCAAGTTGTTTTTAGTCTTCTATCAGCAGTATACAGCATGTAAGCGTCTCGAATAAATCCCAAATGAATTAGAAATGTCAATCATTGGAATTGTTGAAAATTCTCCACAAATTAAATCTCAAAATAATAAGTGTAATGTTATAAAAATAGCATAAGTAGTATTTAAGTAACGAACAATGAACTCTGCCGCTTGTGGCAGAATTGCTGAATTGATGAGCACGCAGAATGTTGTATATTGTAATATGTAATAGATAATATTATTATTTAATGTAACTTTACCTTTAAATAAAGTTGGATGAAAAGCGATTTATTTATGGTTTTATTAAAACATTATTAAATAAACTGATATGAACACTCCAAAAACGACAAGTTACCATATCTCTTTAAAATTTTTCATTGGTATATTGGCAAATTCTTGAAAATTTTTGTTGCTGAGGCTTATAAAAATTATAGGTATTAATTGACACAAAACTATTCTACTTATTACCTTTTTGAATAGCATCACTTTAAATAATCCGTATTATTTAAAATTTTTTTAAATTTCCGGCTCCTCCACCCAAAAAAATTGATCTTAAAATTTAACCTAAATTTCTAATAACATTGTTAATCATAATTTAATCTTATTAGCATTTAGTGAAACTTAAGCGATTCCACGATTGTAAACATCCACCCTCCCCATTTTCTCATCCTGTTAACAGGTGTACTCCGCGGGCAATTTTCGGCTAATTTCCGAAGAGTCTTCATCGCCGCCGCGGGCTCATTAATTTCCGCCGCATCGTAAATAACGTGTTCCGGGGGCTCCCGCCGAGCAACAAGTACACGTCAATAAGTCAGAAGGGGGAGTTTTCGCCCCCGCCAGACGACAACATCCGATAAACATCTCGATCGCGGACGTCGCAGTCGCCGGAAGCGGAGAAAGAGGTGGAGGCCAACGACGGCATGCCATCGTGCATCCAGCAGCCTTCGCCCCCATTCGATGTGCAAAGAGTCGAGCGGGGTATCCCGGGGGTTACTACTGATCGTGAACAACCAGAGACGTATTAAAAATTTATTTCGTTTCAAGAAAAATTTCCATTAAAACTTTAATCTAATTGTTACAGAAACATTATTTCCTTTGGTTTAGTATAATATTATTTAAGTGTAATCGATTTTTATTAATCTTTTTAGGTCATTATAACTTTTTTAGTTTTAAATTAGATTTTTTTGTGGTATATTGAAGCTGAATTCGGTTCTGTAACGTATAGGGTAGCTCCATATAGGGGGTTGAAAATGCGCGCGCAAGTTCTCCCGGACGACGAGCGTACCTACTTGTTACGCCACCGGAGTCCGGGCCCGTTGCCCGATCGCACTCGGTGGTTGTCCCCTCGTTTTCATCAGATCTTAACGGAAATTACGAAGGCGCGATTAAAAAAAAAATACCCAACCCCTTTTTCACGGTCGTAATCGAAAACTTAAATAAAAACAAAATCTGGTGGTGATCGGTATCACCTTCGCGGTTCAAACCTTTAACTTACTTCCTCTCGTGATCCCGCTTACATTTTCTACTTCTCTTTTATATAGCAGCATCAAGACACCAGTTGCTGCCCGCTTTACGACGGAAAATAAATCTTCCACTGTGTAAGTTTCTTATGTTTACTTTTAATGTTTAGCTTTTTATATAAGTTTTTTAATTATTTTTTTTATTAATCAGCTAATTATTATCTATATTAAAAACAAAATCATTTACATATAAACAATAATTCATATTTTAATTCGCTTATAAGAACTTGTTGGTCGATTCAAAAAGGTTTTATGCATCATTAACTATTCTTAACGATATTAAACAGTTGAGAAATCGATTTGTAAGAAATTGATGACGTTTAATGCCAGTTAAGCAAATATATCTCAGGATAGATATTTTATAAAGTTATGATTATGATTAACTTATATATAATTATTAAAGCACCCTCAGTAGAGGTTACATTTCTTGATTTTCCTCTATTGATGCTGTGGGTTGATTGAAAAGGTAATTTAATGAAGGTAAAGACAGCCTAAAAGATCCTGACCATCAAAGTGTTCCTCTTTGCTCTGAAGTTGACGAATGGAAACTGTTCGTGACCCTAGATCTACAGGGTTTTTCTGACTTGGAATGTATCGCCTACGAATCCCGGACAAACCCTGATTGTTAATAATCCTGTTACGAATGAACTTCTTAAATGTACTTCTAAAGATGAATGGTATAAAAGTCTAAAGGACTTATAACGTATTTTATCAACCGGTTAAAATGGGCAACTCAAGCCAGAAAATCCAACATAAATATTTTTTGCAGTAACTGCTGAGATAGATTTAAAAAGTTCAATGATGATGAAGAATATTTACGTGCATTAAAATCGCCAAACATTTGAATTAATTGAAATATAAATTTTTACACCTCATTAATATCGTTTATGCTGGAAGCGATACCTATAACAAATTCAAATTTTCTTTAAATTGAGGTGTAATTGTTATCGAACTTTAGTTAGAAGTTAAACATCATCCCTGATATATCTCATTATCTAGTCTTCTGTCGGCAGTATTCAGTATTCTACAAGCAGTCTCTAGTTTTTTAAGCAGTATTTAGTCTTCTGTCAGCAGTATTCAGTATTCTACTAGCGGTTTTTAGTCTTTTGACAACAGTATCTAGTGTTCTGCAAATAGTATCTAAGTTCTTCAAGCGATATCTAGTGTTCCGTAATTAGTATCTAAATTTTTTAAGCAGTCTCTATTTTTTTAAGTCTACTGCTAGTAATATCTAGTGTTCTGCGAATATGTTTTTTTATCCAGTATCTAGTTTTCTATGAGCAGTATTCGGTAGTTTGCTAGCAGTTTTTAGTTTTTCGCCAGCAGTATCTAGGGTTCTAGAACTAGTATTTAAGTTTTTAAGCAGTCTTTAGTTTTCTGCCAGCAGTATTCAGCATTCTACAAGCAATTCAAGCCAATAAATCCAACATAAATGTTGTTTTGTTATAACTGCTGAAACCCAACAACTTTCTTCAATATCATCGATGGTATCTTCTTATTTCAATACTTTCCATGATAGCTCTTAACATTATTAATGGTATATATTATTTGTGATATCATTCATTGTAGTCGTTAATCTTCTTCAACGTCACCTATTCTATCACTCTACATTTTTCTGGCATCGTTACATTATCAAACAATCTATGGTATCCCTTTACATTATCCCTGACACCTATCAACACAGGTTGAGCTTTTTCAACATGTTTTCCATCATCTATAACATTACCATAACCCTAGTCTCAATCAATATCTTTTTCATCATATTTGAAAGTGGTCCTGGCCTTCCTCAACATCTTTCCTATTAACTTAATCAAACTAATATCTCGCAATATTATCCCTGATATCCTCCAATATCGTTCCTGTTTTTCTTTAATATTCTTAACGACATCTTTCAACTCAACTTCTTTCACACCTATAAAAATTGATCTTGATATTGGAGGATTGGATTCCGTTAAATTTACATTTAAGATTCCAAGCTAACAGTAAAAATCGACAAATTGCAATAAACGTTATCATCTCAATTATCTATTCCATTTAATATTCATATTCTGTTGAACCTGCATAACACAATTCCTACAACACGCATATTACGTGCATTTCTCCAATTACAGTTAACGATCGGAAAATCGTGCATGCGATATGTTGGATAATCCACTAATATCTATGCTGTGTGTGTAAAGGAATAATTAATCCATTTAATTACAATTACATTTTTGTTAGAAATAGGATTATTTTACTTTTACATATAAATAAATATTTAATAAATTCAAGGTTTCTCATTGATCTCAACAATCGATTTGTATCATAGCGTGTATGATTAATGGTGATCATCAAAGCATTGTATATAAATAATGGGCTTCTAATTACATAAATACACCGTCTACATATTACGTAAACGTAAATGTGGTGGCTTTAAAGTGAGTGTTTTTCGTGTAAATATACAAGGTACGTTTTGGTTGTAAAGTTCGAAAACGTACTGGGGCCAAATGGCATTCGAAATCCTCAGGCTGAATTTACTGCTGATGAAAAATTACGATTTTCGAAGGTAAAACGCGAGGGGGAAAGTATGGAAGAGATATCGGCGATGGTAGCGCTCATAACTTTAATGTAACCTTAACCTCACCTCCCGCCACAAATAGATCGATAAACCAGAAGCCGAACAGGAACACACATATCAACCCCCAGAAGTATTACAACACGTAAAACCGATCGGTACAAATCGGTTTTTAATGTTTGATTTTTGTCCTCGAGCTACGTTAAATTGCAACTTGAAACCCTCGTCGAAACAAGTATAACGGGAAAACTTTGTTAATTCTCCAGGTGTGTAACACTTCGTCTTAACACAAAGGACTAACTTTGTTTGTTAACAAGTTGTTTTGTAATGAGCGTAATTGATGTCTTATTTTTAAATGTTGTAGGCGTCAAAATTTAGTTGATCTCTCCTGGTGGGGTGATCAAAGTGGCAATTAACCGGAACCTCGGGTACATCGCGTAAGGAAAGGGGGGAAAGGGGATTTTAGAGATGAGACACGTACAGTCTCGGTAATTAAATTCAAGCAACAAAGCTTGGCAATCCGGTCAAACACGAGGTAAATCAGTGCGTTCCCCAACAACGCGAAGGGACGAAGACGTAGACGCGGGAAAGAGGGCGTAGGTGGATGGAGGTGGAGGTTTTCATAAAACCCCGACGCCCCCGCTCATCGAGAGGAAGAGGATATTCGGAGATGGAAGGAAGCGAGAAGACCCCGGCTCCGGTTCCGATCGATAGCACCAGCTGTCGGACGAAACGGAGTCGTAGTTCGGGGAACGACGCCTTCGCCTGATAATCTCTCAGGTGGAGTTATTCAGCCACTAAATGACCTACATTTTGCGCCCGCCGTTGATGTAGGATACACTTTGAATATTCAACGGCTTCCGTGAATAGAGATTGGTTACTTTTTTATAAAACACTAAAAAACGTTTACTTTAAATGTTTTCTATATTTACATCTGATTATATTAACTAACTTACTTTAATTTGACGTATCACCCTTTACACAAACTTCACTAATTAATAGACAGGTTGGCTGACAAGTGCAAAATTTGCCCTCATAAACGCACACCACCATAGCCGCTAGAAATATTGATTACCACGCCACACATTATTCTCGCATTATTCATATTAAAAGCTTCTCTCTACTTCCCTCTCTCTTTTTATCGCTGGGGATATGAATCATCATTTACACGTTTTAATAAACCATCCCTTCAGCGTCGTAAAAGCACCCCACTTTAGTTTTGTTGGTGGTCATTTCAAAATATTATAAAGTGTTGAACTAAAACTAGAACTAGTGTTAATAAGTGTTAACTAGAATAACCAGAAATGACACTGACGTCGATTCGTTTGACACTGACTTCTAGTGTTAGTTTTAGTTTTAATTGTTATGCAGTGCTAGACCTAGAACTAGAATCATTGGAGTTAAGCCATCTTAAGAGACGTGGTACGTCTAAATCCGAATGTTTCTAGTTCCATAATATAATAAGTTCTATATCTAACCAATACTTAACGGAGTTTGGCACAGAATAACCAAAGTGACACTAGCAGTATCCCGCCAAATCTTTACCACCAATAGCAGCATACCTCGACAACTCGCTAAAATATGGCGTAAGATTTAGTGGGGTACCGCCACTGTCACTTCTGGTTATTCTGTGGTTCTGGTCTATTCTAGAAATACAAAAAATTCTGGTGTAGTCGTGCGTCTCTCAAGACGGCTAAATCCGAATTTCTAGGTCTAGTGTTAGTTCTAGTTTTAGTTCAATTAACACCGGTCGTGAAAGCCTCCATAGTTATATTATAAAGGGTATTAAAAATCGAAAATTGAACACCATCGGGTGTTGCTTTCTAGGTCAAAGCGGGCTCCATGTGGGTCATAGGGGTGAACCCACAGGTGGTGTGATTTATTTTCGACGAAATCGCAGCAAATTTTATCGTTTCGTTTTGTTATCTCTTCTTCAACGTTGTTTCGATGTTTATATATCTATGTTTCATCCTAAAATAGACTCTTGTTTATTAATGTATTGCATTAATCTCTTCAGGTTTAGGGTATGCTTTTAGGACCCACTCCCACGATGCATCGAACGCTCGTTTTCGTATTTAATATATTCCACAAGGAGTAGGTTACGTAGGCAATTTTTGTTATTGACGCGCGTTGTTCGGTTAAAACGGGGCTTGTTATACAAGCCGGAGACCGGAGGCCAACCTAAACCGGGTACCAAAAGCGGGTTACTTTGAGGGGATTTCAACCCTCGCTCGTTTCGTAGTTCTACTCCCCGGAGGCTACATCAGAGAGTACTTAATAAATGGGTTCGCCATTTACCTAGTGAAATCGATTAGAGTCAATTATCGCTTGTCGGCGAAGATTCGTCTCGGTAATCCAATATCGAAAATTGCGGTGCTGGTAACGTTGGTGGTAGTCGTGGTGGTGCAGGTGCAACAGTGTCAAACCCCAACGACTCTATCGACCAATGTGAGGGCGATGTTTAAATGTAATCATCAATAAGATTACTTAAAATTAAAGCAATTAAGAAAATGTTATCAGATAA